CCCCGGGGCGGGAGGAGCGGCTGCAGACCGGTGTGTCCCGGGGCACACGGACACCGATGCCACCGGGTGTGGGAAGGGGTGCGTGTGAGGGGGTCTCCCACCCTGCGGAGCCCCAGGCAGCAGTGTTTGCTGCTCCTCAAAAGTGCTGGACCTCCAGGTTTTAAGACTTCACGCTACCCCTTGCCAACCCTCACTGTCCCTATAAAATGCGATTCAAACATGGGTCGAGCCCGGCGATGCGCCCTCTCTGCGACCCCCGGGGACGTCCCGCCGGTGCAGTGGGTACCGGCAAACACTGTTGGAGGAAACGGGGCGCCGGAGGGAGCAGGGAGGAGAGGAGGCACGGGCCTGCTCCCAGATGATGGAGGTGGCTCCAGGATCAAACTGGAGACGGAAGGAGGACGATGGCAGGCAGAGCAGGCAGGGATGCTGGACCAAAAGCAAGGGGGTGGGAAGGACGCGGGCAGAGCGGGACGACGTGTCAGTGTGCCTGCAGAGCTCTGTATGTGTGTCTGTGTGTCCGTCTGTCTCCAGCGCAGCTCCTTGCTGAGAGCTCGCTGGTGGGTACGGGCAGGGAGGGGGTGGGGCTGGTCCCAGACAGTGACCTGCAGTTGAGTGGAAGCAGGCTTTTTCCATCAAACTCTGCCTGGATACCACACACAGAGCCCAAGTGTCAGTTTACTGCCCTGAGCCCGGCTCCTTTTCCCTAAGCTCCACAGTAATTAGACAAAGAAAACCTAAATTAACTGAACAGGCGTCGACAGCTTCCTCCAGATCACCACTGCTACATACATGGGAATGTGTCCGAAAATGGCTTGATTGTATCTGAGGATCAACTAAGAAAAATACTACCAAGCCCGGCAATGTTTACTACACATTCTTAATAGAAAAAAAATAATCGCCCGGTCCACAGCCCATGTTTATCTTTCCTGGGACATTGATTTGAATTGTTCCCATTGTAATTATTATAATTTTTTTTTAAATAAAATCGATATCTCGATCTATCTATCTATCTATCTATCTATCTATCTATCTATCTTTTTTATTCCTTTATACGTATATGTATATTTCGTGGAGGGGCAGGGAGGCCGACGTCTGATTCCTGATGTCGTTGTAACGACCTATTCAGAATATATATATATATATATATCCGTGTTTTTATACATAAACATCCTTCCCTGCTCTAGATCAGCGAGCCACCGTCCTTTTTCACCTTCCACGGCGGGATGTCTGTCTAAATGTCGCCTTTGGGTGACATGTCCAAGTAATTTTTGCTATCTTCAGGAAGCTAAGCCGATTAAAGGCAAGGGGGAGGGGAGTCGTTGCCTGAAAATCTCTCCATCCTGCCCCCATTTCAGACATCTCGTTTCGATCATGAATATTAGTAGAACGTGACAATGCGTTTACTCTCAACACAGATGTCACGATGTAGGGAAGTGTAGTTGTTTTCTTCTCAAAACAGGACGGACAAGGAGGCAGAGCTGGGCAGGGCAGCTCTGTGGCAGAACCGCTTGCTGTTTCAGTCGCGACTTGACACAGCCCTGGTACGACAGTCGCGGGTCACACGTTCAGTTTGCCACTTCCTACCTGTTAGCGACGTCCTCTTCTTCGCAGCAGACGCTAGTTTGAAACATGGCATGAAGAAGTCTCCAAGGCAAGGTTCTGAGACTTTAAAAGGTGGTTTGAAGTGCCTGTGATTAAACTTATGATTTGCTGTTTGGTGGAGATGTTTATTTTGATTGGTGTATCCATTTCTGAGCTGATCCCAGCTTTGGAGCACAACTGGTTTGTTTTACCAGAGTATACGGAAATTAAACTTTTTGGCAGATTTGGTTACTCAGATGTTGTTCTATAATGATCGTTTTTATTCTAGGAAATCTCTTCATTATTGCGGTTTCAGTTTCATGTTCATAACAGTCCCCTCTGCCTCGTGTGCTAAATGGAATAACTTAGACCAAACTAGTTAAGCAAATGGGAGACAAATATGAAAGATACATGTTCACGGTTATTTTGGGGTCCTTCTTCCCCTCCCCTCTCCTCCTCCCCTCTCTTCTTGTTCTTTTTTCTGTTCTTTTTCTCCCCCTTTTTTTTTTTTTTAAACTACGTGCTTCAGGCTCTTTCCCCTCCTCTGAGGTCCTGCAGATGAGAAGCGTTTTTTCAATTAAACCCGAGACTGAAACTTAAACAAATCCCTCCAGTATTGTAAAAGTGCGTTTCCTTAAGCCCCGGAGGATTTTCCTGCAACTGTCAGTTTCAGGGTGCCTGGGTTTAGATCCCGATCTCCAGCGGCCGACAAGGGATCCCTTTCCGCATGAGGGGCATGCGGGCATTTTAACGAGCAGCCTCAGGTCAGCGCCCGGCATCGGCGGCCTGGGCGACCGCCCGGGGCGGGGGGGAAGGGACGGAACGGGGGGCCAGCCCCGTCGCAGCGAAGGAACCAGAAAAGCCAGGATAGGAAGGGACTCGCAGCCGTCCCGCCCCGTCCTTTTGTGCAGCTACCGGGACCTCTTGACTTCTCGGGACCTCTGGCAGTAGCCGTGCGATCCCGATGTTTGTTTGGAAAGGTTTTTCCGCTTTTTTCCGCCCCCCTTTTTCTTTTATTATTGTATTTTTTTTAAAAAATATATTATTTTTATTATTTGCAGCCAGCGTAACTCTTTTTCCAGAGGTCTCCGTGCAGGCCGCCATCAGGATCCTCCTTCCTAGCTCCTATTGAAGAGTTGGTCTCTCTCCTCTCTCAAGACAGAGGAAAAGAGGGGAAGACTGCAGCATGTGAGAGGTTGAGACACTTCCCATCTCAAGGGCAGGCAAGGACATTCATCTCAGACTTAGGGGCCTACCTGTCCTTGAGAGAAGAAGTTACCAGCCCGACCCCAAAAGCATCACCAAATACTCTCCCTGTACAAAGAGGGCCCCTCTCTTGTAGCATTTTGCAGGGTATTACCAGGGGTACTGCAGCCTGGGTCTGGCTGGCTACCCGGGAAGATATCTTGGGAAATTTTTCAGCAGTGCCTAGATGTGGGGCGAGCTAAGCCTGTATCAGGACACCTCCGCAAAGGTAGTGATCGTGAGTTAATAGGGCCACACCTTCCCCTTTCCTCCCTGCTACACACCCCTCCCGTCAGGGACAGCTTTGCTCAGTGCCCGAGGACGGAGAGAAACAAAGTTTGAGCGAGAAGCCGGCTGAGAAGTAGCATCTAATCTCTTTTAAGGAAGTATTTTCCAGGGGGAAAATCGGCCTCATCAGGTGGGAGAAGAGGCGCCGCCAGATTCTCCCACCCACACGGAGGGCATTGGCTCCTGGCAGGGTCCCCGCGACCCCCCCGGGCCGGAGGACCTCGGGGAGGCGAAGTGGGAGCACTGAACACCGGGGGTGTGAAGACATGTCCCCCCGTCTCTGGACAGGTTCTATTTTTCCAGGCGTGCGGTCTCCTCGGCAGGAGGGCACCCACAGCCTAAGATTTTGTTGTGCTGACGCCGCATCTCTTCCAGCCTCCCCAAAGACTGCCTCCTTCCCCTGCATCCCATCCATTTCTCGTCACCGCACGGGAGCTGTGGCAGAAAGACACCCTGCAAGCCTGAGGTGCCCACTCTTCGCCCCAGCTCGCTAAGCCCGAGGTTTAGCAAAGGTGACTTCCACCCAGCCAAGGGGCTCTGCTGAGTGTGTCGAGAATGGTCTGCCGGGACCCTTTGGGCTGCTCATCTCCTTGTTTTCTCCTCGGTCCTGGACTGATGGGACACAGGAGGAAGGGGGTCCCCGTATGTGGGGTAAGGCAGGGGCTCCGACCAATGGAGGGGACTTGACCGCCCTGCGACGGGTGTTGCAAGAGCCCGTCGGAGCTGCGGGGACACCGCGGCGATTAAACCTGCGCAAAGACACGCTCCGCGTGTAATAATAGCCTCGATTTTTAAGTGTCCCCCCCCCGACGAGTACTTCCACCAAGTGTTTATGTGGGTAAACTTTGCTTTTCCTATGCCAGATGGCAATGTTAAATATTTTATCCCCTCCCAGCTCCGCGCAGCTCCATCTGAACTTCCCGGAGCATCAAAATAAACC